TTTCCCAGGTCCTGTGTTTAACAGCCTCTGCGATGGAGGGCGAGAGCGCCCAAGCGGCCCCGGTTCATGAATGTTTCTGGGCCCTGCAGCATGGATCGGCTCGTTCTCACTGGCGGCTGAGTTTCAGCTTTTCCTCTTCCTGTCAAGCCAGCTTCCACCACCCATTTGCTTTCTATTACACTAAATGTTGATAGGTTCTTGTTTCCTTTACCATTTTCCTGCCTGTGTTTATAACTTTTTTTTTTACTATAATTCTAAACCGACTCCGAGGAGAAGTGGAAATGATTGCGTGCCCTCAGTCTAACGTGTTTGGCTAGAAGTGGCTGGTGGCAAATCCTCACAGACATTCCAGAAGCTTGGTGGCTGTCAGGATGGCGTACCTTTTCTTCCCACTTCCCGCTGGTTGTCAGCGCTCTGGAATCCACCCTCACCGCTGTGGATCCTGGCCCCCCGCAGGTCATCAGTGACCCCCGGCTGCCCAGGCAGGGGATCTAGTCTCACATTCCTTCCCAAGCCGTGCAGCATTTGTGATTGGGAGTGCTTTCTCCGTTCAAAACACCTTCCTCTTGTGCTTTCTGGGTCCCCAGGCTGCCTGGTTTTCCGTCTGTACCTGTGATGACTTTTGTAATAACTCTTCTTCTTCTCACCCCTGTGAAGGTGCTCCCTGGGCTCTGCTCTTCTCTTCTTTTCTCTTCTCTGTACTTTACTCTTCACTGTAACTATTGCCTGTAATCAGATGAGTCCCAAATCTGATTACTAACCTAGCTCCATCCCACCTTGCCCGGCAGATCTTTCTTGTACGCCTGCAGCACTTCCTTGCTATTGGTTGTGTAAATGACTGGCCCTTGGCTAATGCTTGTCCCACATCCCAGCACCCTGTGTCGGTCACTGGAAGAACGGTGGCACCCTTAGTATAAACAGATCAGGAGGAAGAGATGGTTTTGAAGAGAGGCTGGGTTTGTCTTGAGTGTAATGAGTTTCCTGTTCCCCCCACAGTCTCAGAGATATGGCCAAGTCTCGTGGGAAGTATACCAAGGAAGCATAATTTGTGGAAAAAGAATATGGCTTAGGCAACTGAAGTGGAATGAAACTTTGAGGGTCTTCCTGAATATAAGGGATTATTTCTTTTAAGATTGCTGAGAAAGACCTAGTCAGCCCCTAATTGTAATCCTAAATTTGGGGTTTTCGAAGTTTCTGGGTCTCTGAATTTTGCAGTGACCGGTGAGGTGAAAGGTGGGAGTAATAATACTCCTGCAGGATGCCAAGTTGCTGCCAAACACAAGCAAAAACACAAAGCCCCGAGGAAGTGTTTTGTTTATTTGTTGTTTTGTTTTATTTCAGAGCCCAGCTGTTACCGGTAGCCGAGGTCAAGGGCACAGCATGGGGGTGCTGGAGACAGCTTTGCGGGCTGCAGGTATCGCCCAACATGGTGCTCTGGACGGAGTACCGCTAGGCCTGCAGACTTCATCCCACACTTTGTAGATGGAAAACAGACACCCAGGGAGCTCAAAGCCAGATTTTGTGGTCACACAGGTAGAACCCAGGACCCGGGACTCTGTCCGCTGCACCAGCTGCTGCTTCCTGGGGCCTCTCCTCCCTGCCCACCAACCACCACGGGCACTGCAGACTCGCAAAGCAGTCCAGGGGTGTGACCCCTGGGGTCCCAGCACTGTCTGCATGGTGGGGGCTGGGAGGGGCGGAGGAGGTGATCAGTCCCAGGCTGCCACTGGGCCAGCACCCACCCTGTCGCAGCAGCCCCTGGGTGAGGCGTGGTGGGGGGTTGCCTACATATCCACAGGCACAGGGAAATCAACCTCCGACGGCTAATCGCCTGTCCAAACATTGTTGGTAATCTGCATCCCTAAAATAAACCCTTGAGAGATGGAAAGATGTTAGTAATTTCTGGCCATATGTGCCTTCCCCTTCCCTGCTTTCCTTACCTCAAAAAAGAAAGTGAGCCAAATGGCAGGGAATAAAGAGTCTAATGCAGAACACATTTCCATCATTTGATTTCCCCTCTCCCTGTGCTGTCCCCCCTCTTATGTAAACTGAATTCCTTTACACAGTCATGGCAAAGGACCATTAATTTTTGATTTGAGCTGTGATTAAAAGCAATACAATCAAAAGAGTGAGATAATTTCCACTGAAGCAATATCATTTGAAGCCCAGGCAGGGTATGGTAGGAAAGAGTGGGCTCTTCAAGGTCAAGTATGGCTTCTAATTCTGATTCCAAACCTCACAAATGGTGGCTGTGTGTTGTCATTACTTAACCTGAGTCCTTCTCCTTGGTTGTAATAACCAATAAAGATGATTCTTCACATGGCTGCTGTGAGCCACGCCGACTGCACCGATCTTGTGCCCATAGGCAGAGCCAGGAATATGGTGAGTTCTTAAAAACGGATGGCTCACTTCTCTGTGGAAAAGAGAGCGCCTGCATGGTCAGCTGGGTGTGCACTCGCCTCTCCTGGTGGTGGAATTGATCACTCCTATGGCAACGCGTGTCTCCCAGGGCTAGACTTTGGGAACTAGCTTGAGACTCATCTAACGCATGGGGCCACCTCTTAAACAGGATCTTGTGAAAGGAGCAGAATTGTTCCCTGCTGCGTTTCTTTGTGGCTTCTCCTAGGCCCACTTGCTCTGTTTGGCAGAGCGGAGGCAGAGAGGGGCCTGAATAGTGTGAGTCTTCTCTTGCTGGCTCCTCACTCAATCCCACTGAGCACCTTTCTCATTTAACCAGCCATGGAGTAGCACAACTGAAGTCTTTTCTCAAGTGAACCCCAGGTGCAAGGTCTGTAAGCCAACAAGGGAAGCTTACCCAGGTGTGGGCCTGTTTGGGCATGCCTGGACTAAGGTCCTGGAGGGGTGGTTTCTGCTGCTTTCCATTCGGCATCTCCCCTGCTGGTCCCACTGCACTCTGTCCACAGTGGGGGCGGTGCTGGGCAGTGGCTGGTTTGGGCTGGGGGAGGGCTGAAGAATGGACCTCAGTGGGAAGCCTAGACCAGCCTGTGAGGTCAGTGCTCATCCTCAGCGAGAGCCCAGTGCTGATTGGTGCCCAGTTCCTGAGCCTTCTGCCACCCTTGGGAGTGAGGCATTTCATAAGAAACACCAGGGCTAGGGTATTATTTGGGGTTAAGTTGGTTGCAAGGTCTGGAGCCCTTTTTGTAAGGAAAAAAAAAAAGCAGTGGCAGCATGTTGAATTTACTGACCTTGACTCATTCATTAAAGATTTGTTCCTAGGACTTCCCTCCCTCCCCTTCATTCTTGAGTTAGACCAACGGTGTGCTTTCTGATCAGCTAAACATTAAATTACAAAGCCTTCACAATGCAGCTTTTCCTTTGCCAGAATAGTGTCTGTCAACCAGGGGGAACTCTTTACCATTTCATAAGTAAACTTATTTGGAAATGTGGGTGAAACTGGGGATAGAGTCTGTGTTCCTCGCTCTTCTTTTCTTGGTCCATTTAATCAGTTAAGTTTCGGGTGCATTACAAAGACTTTTGCAACCGTTGAGTTGGCATGGGGCAGCCAAGTGGTTAAAAGTGCACATTCAGACATGGGTTTCAATTTAGGATTAGTGAGGTCCTAAATTGACTTCGGGCAAGTCAACTTAACCCTTTATGCCTCAGTTTCCTCATCTGATAGTTGAGAAAATAATTGCACGTTCCTCATGGAGTTGTTAGGTTTAATTGAGGAAATGCATGGAAAATACTTAGCACCATCTCTGGCTTGCCATATGCTTCCACCATTGTTAGCTATTGTTATTTAGTTCCGATTCAAGCCTTTCCCCATGGAGTATGGGTGGAGGCTCTGCATTATTAAAAAGAGGGGGCTGAGTAATTTTGAATTCGGAGGGATGCAGAGGATGTACACATTTTCTGGTGATTAGCATCTAGAAAAGGATTTCCAGCTCCTTTGGAAATGCGTGGGGCTGGCCGGGTTTACAGAGAGGGGGCTGCAGTAGCGATGCCGTGCGCTGTGACGGACAGCTTGGAGAATGCCTCCACACTGAGTTGTCTCCGTCAGCAGACCCTGTGCAGCCATCACGGAAGTCTCTGGTGCGCACATTAACGTTAAAGTAATGTTAAGTCAGGGTCTAGAGAAACAAAGGAAACAGAAGGCAGAGTTGGTAGACACACTTGCTTTCTTTCCCTTCCTGTGGGGGTGGGGGTGTGCTGAGAATGGAAGTAGCTCATGTACCTTATTTGCTTTGAGAGTTCATCACCTGGACATACCTGTCAGGGCTTCACCAGGACTTGCTCTAATCTGTCAAGAAGTCAAAATAGGGTTTGGTGCCATGTGGGTCTACTCAGTGCGTAGAACATTCATGGTACCTGCTAGAGGCTGATTAGTGGTTGACAAAACATTAGCAGTCAAAACCCCTTAAAATGTGCTGTCAAAACTCCTCAAAAGACATACTCATGGGGCCCCGATTTCTCCAGTGCTGAGGTTGGGCGTTGATGTTCAGTGCACTTGAGCGTGACCATTTGAAGCACCCTGTAACTTTCCCTTGCTGGGTGTGCGCACATAGAATGTTGTTTAGAGGAAACAACTTTTAAGAACTTCATGACCCTTGGGTGTTAAAAAAACTAAACCAATAACGTCCTCTTTAAAATAAAAACTTAGTGTACGATTTTGAGTGCAGAAGTCTAAAGCATTAGATCATATGGATTATATTGGATTATGTGATCCCCCTCCTCTCTTAGAGCATCGTGTGATATTCTGAGTCACTGAGTTTTAACAAAGGAGAATAGGATTAGGCTTTGAAAATGTATGTGAGACTCGTGGCACCTTGGCATGGGCGCCACAAACTGGAATCCGCACACACAGGTTGACCCAGGCACGAGGACTTATTTATAAAACTGTCTCCTTTTGCTCGCCCTTTGCCTTGCATTTCACCTTCCTCTTCAGCCTGAGGTTCGGGTGATTGCTTTATGTGAAAGACTGTTCTAAAACGCTTTCTCTCCCCTTCTCTCCTTGCCCGCTCTGCCCTGACCCTCTCTAGCACTGAGGATGAAAATAAAAGAAGTGAAAAAAGAAAATGGTGACAAAAAGATCGTCCCCAAGAAGAAGAAGCCCCTGAAGCTGGGGCCCATCAAGAAGAAGGAGCTGAAGAAGCTCGTCCTGTACCTGAAGAACGGGGCCGACTGCCCCTGCCACCAGCTGGACAACCTCAGCCACCACTTCCTCATCATGGGCCGCAAGGTGAAGAGCCAGTACCTGCTGACGGCCATCCACAAGTGGGACAAGAAAAACAAGGAATTCAAAAACTTCATGAAGAAGATGAAAAACCACGAGTGTCCCACCTTTCAGTCGGTCTTCAAGTGACTCTCACGGGGTGGCTTGGGGAGGGAGCCGGGGGTTGGGGACAGGGGCGGGGGCTGAGCAGACAACCCTGGGACTCACTGCTTTTTCTGTGGGTGGAGGACGCTGTAACCCCGGCTGGCTTTCCTCTCGCAGCACCCCTACTCTGCCCCTCCGCAGCCACGCTCCAGACCCCAGTGTAGCCAGTGTTTAAAGCCGCACACCCAGGTAAGGAAAACCAGTTAGATTAGGAAGCCTTGTAAGAGCCACAGTCTGGACCAGCATGTCACTGAGTACGAGGAGGTGCAACACCATTTCCACCAGAGACACACTCACTAAAGAAAAACTTGCCACTGAAAAAGGTGATTGGGCAAAAATGTAAAAGACCACAGCAAGAAAGTAAGAGAGAGCAGCAAAAAATGATCCCTGCAACTTTCTTTGTGTCATTACAAATTGCTATGGGTCTTTCAGCTAATTGTTCCTTTAGTACTAGACACTTGAAACTGTTGGTAAGAGATATACATTGCTTTTGGTTCCAGAGCAATTTCCTTTTCTGTCTGCTTTAGACAGAAACAGACACCCACCACACTTACAACTTAAGACCAGTCCCGGAGAGGAATAGGTACAGGGAAGAAAAGCGCAAGCACAGTATGTGATAGTGACAGCAAGGGGAGCCAGGCCTGCCCCGCCTTCCCATGCAGCTGTCTTTTGCTGTGAATCACAGTCTCAGATGCCACGTGAGTGGCAGCTGACATCAGCCTTGGGGCATGATCTGACCGCCACACACGTGTGGGGCACATGCCTGCCTTCGTGTGAGGGAAAGGAAACCCGGTGGGCACTGGACCCATGGCATGAGAGAGATGATGATTTTCAAGCCCAGGAGGTGATGGTTAGTGGTTTTCCAAAAAACGTAGTTTAAGAAGAGAAAAAGCAAAAATTTAGAAGAGTCTGGCAAATTGCTAGTCAGGGTGAACGGTAATTGGGTGGAGAGCTTAGCAGCATTCTAATTTCATCTGTTCATTCCATTTCACGTGTCTTTAAAGAGCAACAACCAAAAAGCACAGTTGCTTTTCAAGGGTTTTGTCAAAAGTCTGCACTGAGCCTGTGAAAGGTGTACTGAGACCAGGGTCTCTTGGAGCATCTGAGGCCACTTTCCAGCAGTGCAGCGCTGGCACCAGGCTCTGTGGGAAGGAGGTGGGTCCAGCCGGGAGCTTAGCTGTGTGGCTGTCCTCCCTGAGGGGTCCCGGGCTGCTCTGGCCTGAACACCGTGCTCATCGGGACTCTCACCTTTTCCCATCCTTTTCTTTCCTGTGGGGAAATGGATTCCTCTAACTTGATTGCCAACAGGTCAGAGAAATTCAGGACAGCCAGCCTGCCTGTCCTGCATTTAAAAAAAATTACCTTTATTTCCGCAGAGGGAAAGTTAAGCCACAAGTGTCTCCTCGTCCAAGGAGAGAGTTTCCAAGGCAGCACATCTCTGCAGTTTTCCTGAGTGCCCTGAGATGTGTCTCAAAGCCCTGTGTTTATTAAATGTGTACATAAACCCGTTCACTTACACGACTTCATTCCTCTTGTTGAGTGTATGGGAGATAATTTGAAACAATCAATGCTAATTTCTTCCCCAAGCCTGATTCTTAATCCTCTTTAGCGCCTTGAGGACTTGAGTGATTGTCCCTCTGGGCTAATGGCTGTACTCAATGCGGATGCTGCAGAGAGGCCAGGAGGCGTTACTGCGTGGCTGTGGCTCTGGCCCTGGCCCTGGCCCGACACGGAAACGGTGGAAGATGCTGTTAACTTCTGAAGACTCTGGTCTGAAACTCAGCCTGCCAACTTCGTTACCTACCTGAGGGTTATCCTGATGTAATTAACCTCTCATAAGTAGTGATCCTGTTATTTTAACACCTTTGTTTGTTCTCTCTGACCTTTAATCATAAAGTGTTGGGGACCTTAAGTGACTTGCCTGTAATTTTGGATGGTTTAAAGAAATGTGTATATATATTAGTTAATTAGAAATATTCTGCTTTCCTATTGTCAACTGAAATTCAGAGCAATTTCATGAGTGCATGGATCTGGGTCTCAGTTTTGGTTGATTAACTCGAGTTCGCTGATTGTATGTATCTGACGTATCTGCTCGCTGTGACAGAGAGAATGCATCACGCACGGGACCCTCATTCCGAGGTGGGGGCCGTGGGGGAGGAGCATGTGTGGGGAATTAGCAGTCCCCGCAGAAAGGTGATGGGGGAGTGATAGGTGGCCGTGCTGTGCGCCTCTCTACGTGGGGATTCCTTGGTAGAAGGGGACATGTTCAGAAAAAGTTCAGAGTGAATGGGGGCTGTGGATTGCAGCTCCAGGTTTTCCCCCAGCCACAGAGTCCTAGGACTGGGAGCTTCTGGGGTCCGAGATGCCCGCCCGCAGCTCTCTCTCTCCCCCCACAACACCTGGACAGTTTCAGGGCGCAGAGGGAGGTGGTGGGCCCAAAGCTGCATTTTTATCTCAAGACTTCATTTTGCCCCCCAAAAGGATATAACAAAACCAATGTGCAGACTCATTGGCTTGGTCATTGGTTTCCAAAAGAGGAGGGGAGGGGGTGTGTGTGGTTTGGTAATTATTGCTAGTGCAAAGGTCATATTTGTAACAGTTTAAAATGATCATTCTGGGTTGAACCCTGTGAGGTCATTGGCAGAACTCAGCTCAAGCCTTAAAAAAAATAGTTATCTTAGAAGATAGAAAGGGGACTGAGAATTCCCAGGACATCTTACTTTTAGAATACCCCGTATAACACTTGGCTCTTGGTGCCGCTGAATTAGCACCGAGGCAGAATCCAATCAGAGCTCTAGTTTTCATTTGCGTCTGTAAGTTCAGAAACACCTTTTCCCAAACCCAGAGTCTGTGTTTCTCATCAGACCCCAGGTGCCAGTTGCCGAAGTGTAGCTGTCGCGTGGGCTCCGACGATCTGGCTTGGAAGCGCACCCTGGGAAACCCCCTGGGAATGACGTGCCGGCCGCTCCGACCTGTCACCAGCAGATACACAGGACACAGACAGAATTCTTGTTTTCTCTAGTTCCTTCCTATAGCATTCCTCTGTTAGAGTCTAAATCTTTTACAAAAGCTTTGAATACTGTGAAAATGATTTTACATTCCATTTCATTTGTGTTGTTTTTTTTTAAACTACATTTTACCAGAGGTTTTGATGTTATCGCCTATGTTAATAGTAAATCCCGTATGTGTTCATTTTATTTTCATGCTTTTCCTGCCATGTATCCATATTCACTTGACTAAAATCACTCAATTAATCAATGACGGTGTGAGTTGTGACTTCTTCCCCCAATGACACCACTCACCCTGTTTGACTGTGAGCATCCCCCACTCCTGATTTTTTCCAGCGGTGTTTTCTGGTGTCAGTTTAATAGCTTTCCAGGGGCACACGGCCTGGGTGGGCTGAGAAGCACCTGCAGGCACCCCGGCCACCCTCTCCCGCTCCCACCTTCGCCGTCTGCCCCCATGGGTGACTTGGGCAGTGTTTCTCTTGGCTGTGTGTGTTTCGGCTCAGAAAGAAAGTGAAATACTTGCTCTACAAGAATGTATTTTTCACCTCTGCCCAAGTTTCTTTTTCTGGTTTCAGATGCTCTTTCCCCTCTGGCCAATTCAGTTTTGAAATTAACGACTAAGATTTGAAATTTCTCTGGTGTTTGGAATCTCAGACCCACAGGAGACCTTGGAGGAGACCCTTTTGGTTTGCAGGTGGAGAAGCTAGGATGAGAGATGGCTGGGATTTCCCAGAGTGGGGTTCCTGGGTCAAGGGCATTGCTGGAACTGGAACCCAGGGCTCCCAAGTCCTAGTCTCATGGGAACGTCTGACCACCGAACTTCCCTTTGGACCCAGACGGTGGCCCGTGCCAGGTCCCTGCTATTTCATATGAGGTTATATGCTTGTTGCCTAAGGCACTGTTCAGTGTGACTTAATTCTGTAGGCAATTACAGCGACAGCTTCAGTTGATGTCATTCCTTGATTTAATAGGGCACTTCCCAACCTCAGATGACTGGCAATTTTACCTAGAGGCGAGCAAATACTTCACCACACAAAACCACCCCTATGCACAGAGACTCTTTTTCAGGCATGGTTTGGGGACTTGTAAAACATTCCATTAAAGTTATGCACCAGGGCGGAAAGATTTTCCCGTACTAGTCTATCCGACTGGCGAACTAGTGATACTCTAGCCCAGCCAAGGAAAAGATTGGCATTTCCTTTTAGCTCTGCTGTGGTTAATAAGAATGAAAATCTCAGTCTGGGCATGGCTGGCGTTGTCACCCCACTGAAGCCCCACCACTGTGACCCATGGTTTTCCATTGCCGTTTGATTTTAAAAAAATTACCAAAAGGACGATGAGATGTGCACAAAGGCATCTCTGCTTCAGCTGTTGGAGTTGCCCTGGAGTCGGGGGTGTCCAAAGGTCAGGACTGCTTGAACCTTGTGTCTAAGAGGCTGGCTGCACAGAACAGCGGCCTTGCCTTCAGAGCTCTGTGGCACCCACATCTCCGGAAGGAATCGCACCGGTGCTCTCCTACTTAGAGGCAGAAAGAGATGAAGAGTCAGTCACTGCATTACACAGCTTGAGCTGGTCCTATTTCTAATGCTGTCTCCCCACAGTGAATCCAGAAGTGCCAACATTTTCGCTTTTGCTCCTGAGAAAGAAACCTGTATTGGTCATCCAATAGTAATCCAAGGAAACAGGGAGAATCATTCTTAAATCTTAGTATGTATCATGAAGGGGAACTTGCTAACATGCAATGTCTAGCTTCCACCCTTCAGAAATTCAAGTTCAGAAGGTTTGCCATGGGGCCCTAGACTCTGAACTTGGAACTAGCACTCTAGGTGTTCCAGATGCAGTCCACTGGATCTTACTTTGCAAAACATTCTAGTGGGACATAAGTGGCTTGGGGATGAGAGAGGCCTTTGGTATTTCCCTTTTCCCTACCCACACACGTCGTGTTACTGTAGTCCTGTTGGAAGTTCTGTGAGCTGTTCTACTAGGTATTAGTTAATGGAGGTGGGTCAGATGCACAAGGAAGGATCTGAGCCTAACCCCTTTATATTGGGTACCTCTGGCTCTCCAAGGAGTGCTTCTCAAACTTCAACATGCACGTGAGCCCCCTGGATCCCTGGGTGAAATGCAGATTCCTATCCGGTAGGTCTGAGGTGGGGCTGGGTCTCTGCATTTCTGATGGGCGCCTGGTGAGAGGAGAGGCTGGCCCACCTGGCCAGGCCAGCACACAGCGCACACCTGGAGTAGCGAGGCTCGAAGGGGTGGGTGAGGAGGGCTGCTGGGGCTCTCGTGTTCTTGCTGCCCGTAAAAAGTCATTGCTGGGGTCCCCACATACAGCCTATCTCCTAGAGACTCAAAATATTTACCATGCTTTGGGTTGGAAAGAAAATCAAACTGTGGAAGAGTCACAGTTAGCTACCCAACGCTGCGGCTTACCCAACGCTGCGGCTTATCCTCTCGACCCCCCCAGTAGATTTCACCCAACCAGCTGTGAGGGCTGGTTCTTTTTCCTCAGACTCCATTTATGGTGGGAACTCACAGAGCCCTTCCTTTTTTTTCTTCCTTGGCAAGCTTTTAGAATCTGGTCTCTGCCCTTTACCGAAGTCCCCCAGTCCCCTGTCCTGGACCAGCAGGGGTCCTTGGAGTTAACCAACTGGCGGTGTTTACTTCGACGGTTAAAGTCATATCAGACTCAGACAACAGAATGGGGACTTTTCATGTTCCGTTTGTTCACATCTGGGCAGTTTCAGGCTCAGGTTAGAGGAGAGGCCAGGGCAAGGTGGGGGGTGGGGAACCACAGCATTTGGAGGGGAAATCCCACCTCTTTGATAAATGGAGGACAGCCTGCCAAGCAAGGCTGATTTACTGGGGGAACAGGCGTTAGGAATTTCTGTCCGCAAAGGCGGAGGAAGGCTGCCTTTTGTAGGCTTGGAGAAGATGGGTCCCAGAGCAAGCTCCGAGTAGGAGCAGAAAGCTCCTGTGTCTTTATACATCTGTGGACTATTTAGATAAGAAGGGACTGTACTTAATCATGGAGGGAGTTGTTTGCTTAAATAAAGGGAGGGAAAGTTGCATGTGTGTGTTTAAGGAGAGAAAGAGGAGGTGGGAGGAAGGAGAAAGGATCCAGCAATTTTCCACACTGAAACCCCACCACGTGGTTTTAATTAGGTTGACCTTCCCATCACCTGAGTGCCAGAACTGGTGGGTGGGAGCCGGGGTGCAGGGTTTGGAATTCTCACGGTTCTGTCCTTGGGGTTCAGCGAGGCTCCGCCACGGGCAGCCGTGAGCTCCGAGGAAAGGTTCTTCCTTCTGCCCTTCCCTGGGGCGCCCACTCCAGGCGGGGGCCTGGGATGGGGCTTCTCTGACTTTCCCTAGATGCCAAGACTTAGAGCAGCCAAAACCCAGAACTGCACATGAGATTTCCTTCCAAAAACAAACAAACAAACAAGAATTAAGAAGGAAAAAGGGGACTTTGCTGTGTGGAAATTCTTGCCCACGGCCCGTCTCTGTTGCACTTTTCACCGATGCTCACTAGTCTCCCCGTCACAGTTTGGACCTGTGAATGCACTGGGAGTGGGAGGTGGTTTAGGGGTCTCAGTTTCCATTTTTGCTGGCTAGTTCCCTGTAGAGTTTCTGCAGATCTGGGTAATTTTTCCTCTTTGCCTAGAAGATTAAGCTCATAATCTGAAGGAATAAAGGCCTAAGAGGCTAAAACCCAAGTGCCTGTTTCACAATGTAGCCCAGGGACAGCCAGGGTGGGTTTCACAGAATTAAATGGATTCCTCTGGGGTCAGCACCAACTTCCAAAGCTGGCAGCTGAGGCCACCAAGAAGCTAAATTTGGCTGCCGGTCTTGGTCGGTGACTCAGTGACTTCCAGCAGTAGATCCCTCTGGCATGGCAAATCAGGTCCCAGACTGGCCGGCCCTGGCTGGGGGCAGGCCCCACGGCCCCTGCAAAGGGCTCACAGGAGGGCGAGGGGGAAGAGGAGGCTGCTTATAGGTGGCTAGAGAAAAAACAAGCACCAGCCTGCGAGTGGCAATTAAGGTCAGCACGAAGCTTTCCTAGGTCTGCCCCTGACTCGCCAACCATCACGTGTAAACTCTCTGCATCCTCTCATAACTCTCTCAAGTTGCCTCCTTACTTCAGATGTCTCCTCTCTGCAGTGCAGGACTGACAGTCCTTATGACATGGAAGCTAGAGATGGGCGATGAAGGCATCCCACGATGGAGACGAGGCAGGGACCACTTAGATGAACACCAGGACCCACACTTGCATTGATTTCCACTCCACGGGCTGGAAAGAAAGAGCTCACCTTTAAAAAAACCCCTGGAACTGTCTTGACTGCGCCGTGAATCTTGACAATGAAAAAGGACTGCTGGTATATCCCGGTCAGTGTGGCTCCTAGCAAAGCATTTGCATCCTAGACCCTCCTCATTCCCAGGCCACCTCTCATCCTGAGCTGGAGAGAGCACAGCTCTCCACGGGGCACTGATTTCTCCAGGTCGTTCTCAGCAAGCCTCAGCCTGAATCTTCAGCAGGTCCAGAGAAAATTCTCTCCTCTTTTCTGACTCACTATTTCCTCCCCGCCTAGTGGATGGAAATGTGTTTGTTCAGGAGAAGTGGTTTCAACTGCAGGGGAAAGAGATCCAGCTTTCAATCAAGTCAAATGAAATTCATGTGTCTCAAAAGGCACACACACAGGCGTGCGTGCACACACACACACACCCCCAGTCACATACGTGCCCAGGGAGGGTCGTGGCTCCGCCCCAGGGGGCCTCTTTTTCCAAAGCACAGTCTGCTCAGGGTCTGTATTTGTTGCTCTCGTTTTCATAATCACTGTTATGTGTTCAGATGATTGTGAGTGGCATTGGGCATGTTTGTTCTCATGTAATTGCTTGTTTCCTACTGAAATTTCCATGTCAGACCCTCTCATTGTTCTCATTATCGCTTGCCTCATATTCTGCCTGCCAGAGAAGGCCCATCACAGCGCCTTTGGTACGGTTGGTATCGATTATGGGGCCCGGTGAGGGTTCCCCTTGCAGGCAGGCCCTTAGGCAGCTGGGCTGTCAGGAGCCGGCCACAGGAATTCGGGGCTGTGAGCAACAGCTCCGGCTTGACCAGCTGGGGTTCCTGGTTGCTGGGCCAAATATCAGGACAAGGGAGACTTGACAAGGGCCTGGCCTGCCTCCTGATTTTGGATTAGGTTAAACTCGAAGTGCATTTTGCACTCCCATCCCAAGTATTTCAGAGGA